GCGATATCTCGCATGAGTTTGCCTTCTACTCTTAATCCCGTCGAATCGCTCGTCTTATCTCATTCGCCAGAGCACGCATACTTTACTTTATTGAGACAATTCGGAATCCGTTGAAAATATCAGCGCCCGCGTATCGAGACACATACACATACACACACACACACGCACACACAGTATCGTGCAGAGAACGTTTTCTTTTATCACCGTGGAAATCTCGTAGAATGTAAAGTAACAGGCGGTCGCGAATCGTTTTGAAGACAATTCTCTCGGCGCGTTTTAACGACTCCAGAAAATTTCAATGATAAGTCGATTGAGCATGTTATGAAGACGCTCGTCGAATCAAATAGCTTACGTCACACGAATTATTCCCAAAATCTTCCGCAATGCTGCATCTCTCTGCCAGAAGAGTTACGATTAATAAAATGATTTTCGAGAGTTATCTTGTAATATTTTGTAGTATCTCTAATGCAAATGACGAAAATAGTTCGCAGCAGTCGCATTATAACGTCCTGTGTGTATTTGGTATATTGAATTTAAACGAAGAACACACACGGTTGTCGCATATCGCGAAGCGGCCCAATTTCAGTTCCGGCGGAAGCAGTAGCTCATTTTGCCAGCAACCATCATCAACTGTACGACGTAACGAGCTCTACCGTGCATGGGAAACAACTTGCTTTTGCGAAACGGCCGTAGAACGTTTCAATATCACCGCGATAAAGTTGCAATTATTCGATACATAAGGACGTAACGCGTTTAAATTCGACGAAATATATGTTCACTCGGCGATTTTCCGTGCGAAATTACATTATCTTTAAATTTAGTGAAAAGTCTCTGACACACATCTGTTTCCCGACGTATCGTTTCGTAGTATTCGCGCGTTATACAAAATCCGTGTTTCTTATTTCCTTGAAGTTTCGCCTCATCGCCACCTCTGTACCGTAATGTTCTCGCGGGCCAGGGCGAAGGCGACGTTTTCGAGATATTTTCGACGGATTCGTGTACCTATAAGGACAGACACAACATACGTAGAACACATGATCGATGCGCATGATTGATGAGTAATGATCGTAGACTTATGTACACGGAGAGTCACACACAACTGTTTATACAATATATAAATAAGTCTTTAATAAATACGCTACTACATGAATAGGTCGCTTCTAAAAAAGAAAAAGAGAGAGAGAGAGAGAGAGAGGGAGGAAGAGAGAAAAGAGAAAAGAAAAGAGGAATTAAAAAAAGAAAAACGCAGCGAGGTCGAGACATTCTCCCGCAGACACATCTTCGTACAGATTCGATGAGACTCTATACTCGAGAAACGAACAGATGGCTTTCCATCAGGTATGAACAAACCTTCTAGCGGCATTCGATGATCGAACAGTTTCCACGGACGTCCAGCCCGTAATTATTGCGGATGTAAGAATTCGAGATCGATCGAAGTTATACTTTAAAAACATTTCCTGCCTACGTGCGACTAATTTCGCAAAATTGAGCTGATAAAGATTCGTCAAAAGCGACAAGCGTGTTTTTCGCGGAAACTCACCCGCGTTATGCCGGGAAGACGGTTCTGACAGACACGTTAGAGATTGCTCGCAATCAGGCGTGATTATTTGTTCAGTATGATTAAAATAGCCCGAATTTTGAATTTGTGTCACGAATTTGTGTTACGCGTATAAAAGGATCCGAAGGGTGAAAAAATTTCAAATACAGCCATAAGTGAAAAATGCAATTAGGACCTCCGTAATTTTCACGTCGGCAACGTCGAGCGTCGCAGAAACGAGTCTCTCAAAGGATATCGTTGCGTCTCACGAGAGACAACGATCGACTGAATAGTAGAACTCGAGCGATCAGCGTGTGTAATTTGTGTCGATCCGATTCATCGACGTACATACTAAAACGAAGCAGCGTGCCACTTTGCTCCGTTATAAATACTGAGATTACATCGAACGAATTTACTCTATACTTCTCAAATTATATGTACGTCCGTTGGAATTGCGTTCCATTGCGAGTGACAGACTTACGATTTGACTGATCACTCGCGCGGGGGCTTCCTCAATGTTGGCGGCCTGGTCAATCGCAGGCCAGATCGTGATTCGCATCCCGAAATGTCCTTCTTGTATCCTATAATTCGTGTACAATTTACGCTATTTAAAAAAAAATTACCTCATTGTGCGGCAATAAGCGTAATTGGAAATATTCGTCGTTTGGTTTTCGTTGAAACGCGGGAGAAGCATAATCGCGTCGCGAGACTGCCAATAATCGACGCCGGACAGTTCGCACCTTTTTATTAATTTTATTTTATTTTTTTATTAATTAATTAGACCGATTTCTACTACCGCCTCGAGGAAAATCGGCCGCCGTGTTTGCCGGCCGAATTCTTCGCCCATACGCCATTCCCTCTTTTCACGTCGCTTATTGTCTTGTCTCCTTCTGCACTCCTCGCTCGCTAAAATACTATCGTATAATTATTTTAAGCTTAAACGCTAATAGTACTAGTTAAGACGAAGTTCGCCACTAATATACAAGGAGTTTCCTGCGTCGATACACGGCAAGGTGAGAGCGATTCGTGTCAAGTCGAAGAGAGAAAAAGAGTAATAATTTCAGACACAATGTAGCCGGGTAATCATTTGCCAATATAGCCATTCTAATGAAAGACAGTTTAGAATATTCTAATTCGCGATCATTTGATTTTATAAACCGTAGACATTTTTCTCTCCAATTTCCATATTGATTCTCGCGTTCTTAAATTGTCTGCTCTTATTTCTATATTTTTACCTTTAAATGCGATTCTTTTCTTCCGGTTTTTATTTAACATATTAACACATTAAAGGCGGGAGTCGTAGTACTACGATTTAGCTCGACTGCGGCTTAAAGGCGGGAGTCGTAGTAATACAATTTAGCTCGACTGTACCTTAAAGTTTTTATGATCACACAAAATATCGCCCGCCGTTAATGTGTTAATGGCCGTGTTTAAAAATGTTTAATGGGAATTAGGCAGCCACATCATTATCATTAACTCTTTAAGGCCTATACATAATAGTATATATTAACTTTGGGTCTTCCCCAAATTTCGTCTTTTGGTAAAATGATGCTTCTGTCGATATAATATTATTGATCCATCCAAAATGAAACTATATTCTCTATCCTAATCCGTGGAATAGTGTCTTTCCTGCTGAAAATATATGCAATCGCATATAGAGCAAAGTCACTGACATTCGGATTTATATAAACTTGCGAAAAAAACATAAATATATTTTTTTTATGAAAATCGTGTCCGCCAACGATACGAATTTTGTTCTTCAACGACTGTTATAGACAAACAGGAAATAAATATATTTGTTTAATAAAACAATTTTAATATTTTCTTATTTTTATACTTTAAATGCTAAATGTACATAATTTATGTACATTCAGAAAATTGTACTTCTCGTCGACCAATTTCATTTAGACATAAAAATTTCATCAGGAACATTTTTTTTACGACGATTTTATAAATTACAAAATTTTATTTCAATGGGATCGATGTGTGAGCCTTAAAGGGTTAAATGTGTGACGAGAATACGTACCTAGATTGTCACGCTGGAAGTACTCTGTGGTTATTAAAACTACTGAGGATGTATCACACTGACGTTAAGAACACTATAAAAATTAAAACAATAATAAATAAGAAATTTACAATAATTTCCCTTTTTAAATGCATATGTGCATCGTCTAAATCACTTTCAAAGTGTAAATGCAAAATAATCATGCAATGAAATATCTTTAAAGCGGTGTGAATATCTTTAAAGCGGTCTTTTGCAGCATGTTTCTGAACTCCGCAGACACTGATTTCGTTTGTAAAAATGCATTCGAAGAAAATTTCCGGGCGAGGAAATATCGATCTCGGGGAGTCCACGGACGAAGGTTGATCGGAATTCAGAAACTGCGCATTCGCATGCATTATTCCGACTTATCACCTTCTAAATGCGCGTCAAACAATATTTGCTCTAAGATCAATGTGTATGTGAAAATTACGGCTTTATACGACCACCTGGTAGATATGCAATTAGATCATTCGCCACGCTTCCGTATGCAGTCCGCGGCTTGTTTTGCGCCGAGAGAGAAGCAGTGGAGATTAAAGTCACATTTCGTGCTCGTTACCTGGCTACGCTGTTTGATACTCTCGTCCCTCTGCCACCGTAATTACCCCTTTTCGGATAACGAGCGTAAGAAACAGCTTCACCGGCGCGCTCCTCCCTTGGCTGTATAAGCGAGACCGAAGACTCTTCGCTCTTGCCAATATTCATCGATCCACGACACGAATCGTGGTCTCTTCCTCGCCGTGAACGTTGCACTCGAGGACCGACATCAGATCGATTTCGGTGAACGCAATTTGCTACCGTTACGAATTATAACTCTGACCCTGCCGAGATATCTTGCGCGCCTCGTGAAAATCGACAAACTTCGAGACTTCTCACGAACGCTAATATGTTATTAAACTAGAAATCATCTCTTCTTTTTGATGTTTACAAACTTCCCGGAAATTAGAAATTAATTGGGACGTATCCCAAGTCTGCAGTGGCCTAGGTAGGCACGCCCGAAAATAGGTCTGCCTTTGTCGGCCGCAGATATGGCCATGACAGGCAATTGTCAGAACTGTGTATTTCTAAAACTTATCTGGGACTTCTTTTGAGCGTCGTATTCGTGGAAAGTTACGCCAATAGAGAAAAGTGTTGTGGACGATACGATGGACCGAATTGCAAAAGTTGAGAAGAGAATTGTAGGAGGAACATAAAGTGAATTTTGGCGAAGGCCACGTGACTGAATCGATCTCACCGAAATACAAACGTGTCAGCCCTGGGCGCCGTGAGTATCAAAGTTCCGGCGCACGGTCACGGTGGTCGTGCGCCCGTCGGTACACGAATGTGGGAGTAAGTCGTAACGTAAAATGCTCGCATATGTACACGTAAGTTTACAATGACGTTCGCGCGCACAAGTCACCCCCCAGCCATCCACGGGGTGTCTCACATCGCCAGTCTGTCGAAGGGGGACCTCGTGGTGGCCCGTAGGATCGCGTCGTCCGTACCGGAGCCACCGTCCTCTTCGAGCAGCCGGAGGGTCGTCAGCTCCGCGACGACCTCGCTCGAGGCTGTCGACGCGGTTGACTCTGTCTTTCCTGTCGCGACCTCGCTCGGCTCCTCGTCCACGAGCGAAGACGAGGCGGGAGCTGGCGGGGATGGGGGAAGAGGAGGTTTCGTCGTGGTTTCAGGAACTTTGGTGGTTGTCGGTGGACTCCGCTGCGCCGTCTCGCCCTTCGTCGCCGGCGGCGTCGACCTCGCTCGACCGGCCGAGCCGAACGACTTTCCTACCCTGCGCGAGCCCACCGGCCTCGGAGACCGTGGCGGCGACGACGACGGCTTCTTACGACCAGATTTCGGAGAGGCCACCCTTATGTCGGAGGGAGCGCTCGATGCACCAGGAGAAGACGGCGAAGAGGACGACGACGCCGTCACCACCTCGCTGCCCGGCGGCGCCGTTAGCGACGAAGAGGCCTGGGACGACGTCGTGCCAAGCGCGTACCGCTTCTGGGACGACGTCGGCGAGGTCGCGCTCCCTCTCGGCTGCGTCGTCGCCGGACGCTTCCTCCTCTTCTTCTTCCCGTCCGTCAAATCAGGCTTTTTACTTTGACTGTCGCCGCCGACGTTTGGCTTTTTCGCGTTTGACGTTGGTGCTTTGTTCTTACCGTTGCGCGTGAGGTTCCTGCCGACGACGACGACGGCCGCCGCCGGGTCGCAGTCTATCCGCGACTTCCGCTTCTTCGCCGGCACCGAGAGGGCCTGGCGCCTGCAGGCTTCCTCGCTGGCCGCCCCCTCGCAGGACCTCTTGGATTCCGGCGTGGTGCATCCGACGTTGCTGCCGGTCTCCGGGGACGCGTCGGCCTCCGTCGCTTCCGACGTGGCACCCGCGACGACGGACTCCTCGGGAAGCTGACATTGGGGACCGGGCCGTTCGCCCTGTCTGCACCGTCGCTTCCGCTTCTTCCGCTTCTTCCGCTTACGGCACCTGAACTTGTCCCTGCCGTCCTTCTCCTGCATCGGCAGGGTCGGGCACATCGGCTGCTGCTGCGCCACGTCGCCGTGCTGGCCGCGATGATGCGCGCGCTCGTGGTGCCGATGGCGCACGTTGTGCTCGGCACCCAGCATCCGCCTTTGCAGGGCCTCCACGCGGTCGGACGGTGCTACCTGCGTCAGCACCCTGGCGTAGGCCGATAGCTTGCCAAGGTTGCCTTTACCTTTGGTTTGTACCCTCCTCGGCTGGCCGGAACGATTCAAGCCGAGGTACATTGTCTTCTTCTCCGTGGACCAGCGCACCGAACTGTACGTGTTATAGTTGTGCTGCTCCAGGTTCTCGTTGAAGATGCACTCGTTCGTGTACTCGCGCTGTAACAGAACGAAGTGGTTTCTCTTTGAAAACTGGCCCGATCGGGGTGAGATATCGACGAGGTAAAATTAGGTAAGGCAGAAAATCAGGCTGCAGAAGCAGCTTATATTTCAACAGAAATAATGAGATGATCACAGTTCATATTTTATATGTGTGTGTATGTATAATGTTACATATATTAATATAAGTAATTTTTATATCGATTGTTATTTGTTTATGTTCATAATCAAGTTTCTTTTTTACGTTTCTTAAAATATTTAAAAGATTTCAATCACGATTAACAAGATGCGTTTGAACGGAAACGGAATATTTCGCGAGACGAAATGAACGCGTGAGACGCGTTTCTCCAGAAAAAAAAGCGCCGTCAGTTTTTTCGATTGAGCTTGCTGGTTGCGGGACACCCTGTACACGACAACGTAGACTCTTGTGCTTCGTTTTTGTTGGGCGATGCACACGTGCGCGAAACGAGGTTAATGCAAGCGCTAGTCCGTTTCTCAGTGGTGCTGAAGCATTAAGGATAATGCGGAACCGACCGGCCGACGATGGCGCATACGGTAGGCATTAAGTTTTCGCTTACTGCGGCGGCACAACGCCGTTGGCTTTATGGTAACGCGTTCGTGGATGAGCGAAAGCGGCAGTATTCTTCACAGACAATTACACCGTTTGTCGGTTCAACTGCGCTAAGATGAGCGGTTCGGGCCGCGCCCGATGTCGACGGCACGCAGCGGTGCGCGCTCGGGCATGCCTCAATATGCCCGAGACGCACGACGTGCATCTCCGTCCCCGACTGATGTTCCTTTTAGACAAGGTAAATTTGCCTCCGATGTGGCGATCGCCTGCACGCGATATTACTTTTCTTCGCGCATGTATATTCCCGACTCGAAATTTTCAATTCTATATTAAGTTTTCGAGCGGAGAAAATGGAAATCAGTTCCCACCTCTGCATCAAACTCTGGATTGGATTTTTGGCATTAAAGGAGTTCAATAAGTACTCATGTAATAATACAAATAGAAGTTTATTTCTATTTTCTCCGTTTGAAGACTTAGTGTGGAATGGGAAATTTCGAGTCGTGGAGGTATCGAATTTGTCAAGGGAACGTGTGTTACGTTTCGTCACATTTGAGGCAACAATCGTTTCTCTTGACTCGGGTTCCACCATCTGCAGGTCAGAATACGCACGTATTCCGCGTATTTCCCGCGTGTATGTAATCTCGCGTTATTAGTCACTGTTATGCTAATTCTTTCGGTCCTGCCCATTAAACTCCGGTCTTACGTGCGCGCACGAAAAATTTGTGGCGAGATCTTTTTGCGCCGCGGTTAAAAGCGCGGCATACCCGGAATGATAAATTTCATTGAGCACACATGTGCGGCGGCCGGCACGCTAAACGATCGCATTGACCCTCGGATTCCACTAAGCGGCGGAAAACGAGCGGTCGTGCGTCAAGGGGGGAGAAACGCCACGAGGAAACCACACAAACAAACTTTCGTATTTTCCCTCGGGGATTTACGGCTACGACGAAATGAACGCTTCGCCAGTTTGTCTTCCTGTCATCGGCCTAAGCGAGGAAAATGTGCGGATAAAATGATCAGAGTCGCTTCCTTTCCGCCCGGGGCGTAAAATCGTGCGTCGCGCGCGAAAAACGGATCCGTACCCCATCTATACCCTAGTTTGACATCTCGCATAAATTTGAACCCTCATTGTCGACTTTTTACTACAGGTAAGAAAATACAGACAATCGATATCCCAAGACTCGCGATCCTTACGACAAACAGCTGGGAGGCAATCTCGAAAATCAGCACAAATTAATTACGTTGCGAGTCTGATATGCGCAATGCGAGCTTTAAAAACTTTTGAGCGACTTAATATAAACGCAAGCACGCAATTACATCGAGTGCGTGCGTCTGCGTTTAAGGAGCGCGCACATAACTTCTCAAGGATCGACATGACACGCTCAAGAAGAACTCTCGAGGCTCTCGATTCGTGAGTCGGTTGCGAAACGGTAAATGTGATTGAGACGTGAGCGCGACACAAATCGCCACAGGATATTTTCAGCTTGCGATTTGATTTCTCGCTGTGATTACTATGAATGCACCTTTACGCGCGATTAAAACGCCGACCACGTAACTTCCTAACAAGTCTCTTCCTCTGTCACACGAGCGAACTGGTCTACCCTGCGGGCGAATGTGCGCGTAAGTACGGTTGCACTCGAATGCCGCGCGCGGGGCGGTTCACGTGGGGTCAAAGTCAACTGGTTTTCTACCCCATATTTAGTAGACAAAAAATATTTTTATCCTAGAGGGGATTTCGCCGTACATGGCGGCACGATGTGAGCGCGATATGGCAAGACGGAAAAGATTACAGAACGGCGACCCTGGGAGCCACTTGAATTTATTTCGCGACGGAAAACAACCGACGGGAGATGTTTCAAACATTTCCGCGATACTTGAATTGTTTTCCACATAATCTTAGAAACAAACGGAGGGCGGAAGACGAAGTCGAATTTATGTTGGTTTAAAATGCGCATACTGACGCGAAATTTCCGGCGAGATCGACATTGTTGACAAGATCCAAGGGAGTCGGAGATAGGCTTCTTGTATATCGCCCGTCGCTTACATCGTCTGTGCATTGTAAGCGGATTCCTCGAGTCTCCTTAACAGGGCAAGATTGCCGTATTATTTGCACTTTTTACCCTTCGGAGGCTCTTCCGAAGCCATTTACGAAGAGCGACTCTTTTAAAGGCGACTGCGAGTTCCGCGGACTAGCTTGCATTGATCCTGGATCCTGCTCGACAGTTACCTCAACGATGGCGGAAGTTCGGTGCCAAGAATAACGTAGCTCGCGCCGTGAGCGAGTGCTGTATGCAAGCGTGTGGGCAGGATTTTTGGAGAGGTGTCCAAATTTGCGGCGAGCAGAATTTATGGGATCAGCGTGCTTTCTTCCTTTTGTATCCGACATTTTCTGACATTCGTGAGAAATGATACAGGAAGCATCATTTCGCTGCGCAGGCTGTCTCCAAGCAAAAAAAGAAATCCGTTATCGGTCGGTTCACGGATGTATCATTTACGTTAAATAACCGTTTCCGGGTTACCTTTTACTCGGCTGTTAGAGCTGTAAAGAGAAGAACAAGGTGACGATGGCGGGTCAATGAGATGCAGGACGAAAGTGAAGAAACACGCGTCTCTTCCGGGCCTCCGGGCCCGCAGCGCTACTGATTGGAGGATATTACCCTCGGTATTTTTACGTCGATCTAACGAGAACGCATCTCGCACGTGACCGGTGCTTTTTTTTCTGTGTCGTGATTTTCAAGACAATGATCATTACGCGCGCAACTACGAACCACGCCACTTTATGCCTCGATCGCTTTTGTCTCTCTGTTTTTCTTTTTCCCTACAATACCTTTTAGTTATCAGGCGGTACAAAGAAAAATTTCTTTTATAAAGAGCAATATGAAAAAAAGGATTTTAACTTAATTAAATTAATTATATTAACTGTTAACTTAAAAAGAAAATGTTAATTCACTGAACCCTATATATAACAATATAAACAGATTATTAAGAGACAGCAGTGACAAATAATGATGATAATAATGAAAGCGAATGATAATAAAATTTAGTTATTATATATGGTAGACATTCTCCAGTCAACCAACAGAAACATCAATGATAATTTCTCATTTAATAATATAAATGCAATATAATGCGCGTATTATGTAACAGATACATTGTTGAGTGGGAAATTATAACATTGATATTATATTGCTGTTATTTGGTGTTTGCTGGGACATGAATAGAATAATTTATCATTACCGTGGTATACAATTCTCTCGCGTAGACACTTCGAACGAATTGTCGTGGAATTCTCAGTAGTTTTGCAAGAAGAACCGAAGTTACGTGGACGGCACATCGGTACACACATATACCGTTGCCGTGGGCCATTTCTATTTTGTTCGCGTCAGTCAGTAAGCTCGGGAAAGTGACACGCAGCCAGAAAACGGTTCTTGGCCCGACTATGATGTAACAGAAAGAAGAGATCTTTGTGGCGCGCGAAGGAGACCATCGGTAATATTACTCGGGAGAAAGTGTTCTCAGAACATTCTCAAAATATTCGGATTCTCGGAGAATCTCAGATAATATTCTCAGAACTCCCGCGGGATGAACCCCCTTTTCCCGAAAATATACTTGGAATATTCCCAAAACGTTCCTTCGAATAACAATCGCGGAGTGTACTCTCAGGGTGTTCTCGTTCACGAATAATGAGACCGATTGTTGTTCAGTTAAATTTACATTGATATTTGATACCTAAATTTATATTATTTCCCGTCGTTATACCCGAGTCGAAATTCTGGGTCCTACATTAAGTCTATTTAGTTCTACATTAAGTTTTTTAGTGGAGGAAACGAAAATAACTTCCTACTTGTAGTATCAGAGAGGCATTAATAGTGCTTTTTTTAGGGAATTTAAACCTTCCGGAAGGAAATCTTCGATTGAAGAAAAAGGAAATAACTTCCCATTTCCATTATGCATCAAAGGAGCACGATAGAAGATCTTTGAAGACTTAATGTAAGACTGAATAGACTTAATGTAAAACTAAAATTTCAACTCTAGTATATATACATCGACGCTCTCGGCTGCGATCGTCGAATCAGACTGGAATCTGTTTTCTTTTTCAATGTCGCGGTACACTGACTCCCCTGTTTGTTCCCGCCGCGGTTACAGCTGAGACAATCGCTTCTTGCGCGACGCAAATTGTTAACGCTATTATCACGAACGGGGTGTCTTCTTGCGCCGTTTAAATCGCTCGCCGAGCTCGCGCGTACAGGTGACATTTTGCCGATAATTCGCGAATTAACCGCATTCTCCCGTGCGAACTCGTCGCTAACGATCACGAACAATGCCGCTTTTTCTTCCACTCGGGATTAAGATTAAATCGCTTATACTTAGTGGCGCGCGCACTTATTAACGAGCTTGCCGCCTGAGTGCCTGACCATTTCGCAGAGTG